TTCGCTTGAACTTGGGTGTCAACCTCTCGCAACAATAAATATAGCGGCAAATTCAGACCTCTACCCCTTCTATCTACAAATAGCATCCAACTATCCACGTACAAAGCAAGAGGGCATTGCTCTTCACTGTTATGGCAGCAGTCATACTTCAGCACCATACGGTGCGACAGACACCTACACCTCCACCAATGGGAACGACAACTCTCAGTCTCACAGCGCCATCAACCCGCAGCCAAACTCCAATTCCTAATAAACACTTGCCCATTTGTCCCACTGGACCTGCCCCGGCCAGCTCCAAGCTCCCTGCTGCCTCTTATTCAACTTCCACCTCATCCTCAAGCAAACATTTCAGTGTCCAGCAGTCAACAGCCCTGTATCCCCCAGACAATAGATACCATCAGATATACAGCCATCCACCAGTATTCTCAATCAGCAGCAAGCAATTAGCCAATGCTCTTGAAGACCAAGCCACAAGGCCCCTTCCTGATCCGTCCAAATTGTTTCCTTGGCTTCATGGGTTACACCCCGACAACCAGATCCAGCTATCGTTTTTCGTATCTCGTCGTAGGACTCTACGGCGAATACCAAAATGCCTTAGGTCCATTACTGTGGTGAAAGTTGGCGGTGACTTGACAAAGGCTAAGATCAAAGGTGCTGTTTCTCCTGACGAAATCCTGGCTGGATCCAGTTTTATCGACGCGGACCCCCCTGAAGGCTTTTCCGTGAGAAATTTCCACATACAGACTGCAAAACTTGCTGCTATATCAGACATCATTGTATACGGAGATGATGACGTGAGTGAAGAAAGCATCTTGGCTGTTGCAGTTGATATCTCTACTGCGCAGGAAGAATGGATGAGGAGGTATGATCCCGGTCAAGAGACAAGGCTGTTTAACACATTTGTAGTATCCAGTAAGTTCTCTCTCACCGCCATGTAGTTTGTTCAATGATAGCTAACTGAAAAACAGATTCGTTTCAAGACATAGAGGTCCAGTACCCGGATATAGTAGCCATAAACCAAAATGGTACCTTGACCGGCCAAGTTATGGACTTTTGTAAGCCATGTCTTCTAAACATGACGATTTTCCTTATGTTGCTAACTTGCACATAGTCCTTTGGGAGCGACTAGAAATGTACAGTATGTCCCAGGCAACTGAGATGACGAAGAATGTCTGGCTGGGCCCTTCCCCCGATCTGAGTTACGACATGGGTGGACCACCTATCAGTCATTACGACATTTTTATCGAAACACACGATGGTGCAAGTATACCCGATACGAGGTACTTAGCGAAGATATCATCACAACTCCATAAAGGCCCGCATCACATTGAATTTCCATCATCTGGTAGCATTATGGCATCTTCATGGAGCCAGCTTGAAGTTTATGACTTTATTGCTACTTGCAGATGGATATATCAACTTGCTAATCCTCGCAAGAGAACGTCTCTGTCTGATAATAAAGACGGTGATATACCGATAAGATTAATGACTACGAAGCCTTGCAAGATTTTCATACATTGTGGTGATGGATATACTGAAAGCTCGCTCCTTGCCCTGGCATACTTCATGTATGCTGAAGGTGCCCCTGTCCATGAAGCCTGGCTAAGGCTACATTGTGAGAAAAAGAGGAATTTTTTCGCCTACCCATCTGATGTCGCATTCCTCTTAGGAATACAACAAAAATTACTAAGTGAGAGCCCGAATCCAAGGGCTCGGCAATTAACACATCGGCCTAGTCCAAACTGGATGACAAAAATGGATGGCTCTTTGCCCAGCCGAATCTTACCTTACATGTACCTTGGGAATTTAGCTCACGCCACCAACCCAGAGTTGCTTTGGTCCTTGGGGATTCGCAGAATACTAAGCGTCGGGGAACCCGTGTCCTGGATGGCTGAAGATGTTGAAAAATGGGGAGCAGAAAATTTGCTCTATATCAATGAAGTACAGGATAACGGCATCGATCCTTTGACTCAGGAGCTGGAGAGATGTCTAGCATTTATTGGTATGCTCTCTATCCATCTACTTGGTCCATACATATTAAAAAATCTAAAGCAACACTAATTTTCCGACATCAGATGCGGGTAAATTTGAAGGGACGGCAACACTGGTGCATTGCCGTGTTGGCGTCTCAAGGTCTTGCCACTATATGTATCGCAGAGGTCATGAAGTCCATGAATTTATCATTTCCGAGAGCCTAGTAAGCCTCCCGCAATACCCGGAAGAGTTAAAGATATAGCTAACATATTTACTTTCCCAGTTGCTTTGTCCGAGCAAGAAGACTGAATGTTATTATCCAACCACATCTTCGATTTGTGTAAGTTTAGTCCAGTTCCATCTGATACCGTGGCCATATTCTCCGCTTATCAGGTTTGCTTTCTTTCCTTCTCTTCATACACTAACCTTCAATCCCTTAGGTATGAGCTTCTGAAGTGGGATGAGATCCTTCAGCAGAGAAGAAATAACTCCTTCAAACGAGATCTAGAATGGCCTACCGTGTGTCGTGAAATCGCTCTTTTGAACAAACCATACTCACGACAATAAGGGTAACGCTATAATAGCTCGGCTATGAAGAACTACCATTTTTCTCTTGCCTTTACAATTTCGACCCTTTATTGGCTTTACCAGCCTCTTTCTACTGTACTTCACACCATCAGCGGCTCCTATCTACCGATTCAGCTGACCTTGCTCCTCCGAACCCTTTTTTAACTTCCTTTTTTCTCTTCATTAACCCCGAGGGCAACGTCAGCAATTCGTATTGTCTACGACATATTCATTATCTTTCCCCTCCTCTCTAACTTTACTTAACGTCTCTTACGATTCTAATGATTTATGGTGTACGGAAACAATATTAACGGCACGAGACCTTTCAGCTCTTTTTTTTTTCAATTGATCTCCTTTTTTATTTCTGTTTCCTGAGTGTGAGCGTACCTCTGTCCTGGTCTTCAATTTGCCTTTTTGTACAAGCTTCAAATTATTAGTTGCCAATACATACTAAATCTTCACTTATTTGACCGACTCAAACAAATGGCTAAGTAACTAATCTATAACTATAGCGTAGTTAAATCTCTAGACTGATTGTTTCGAGAGCAGCGAAGGCCATAGATAGGTCCCCATAATTACCCTCCGCACGCCTTAGTTGATTCTGTAACTATTCAGAGCTCCCGATAACTGTCTCTCTTAAATATATTAATCGCTGACTGTTGAAAGTCGCGGCAGAATACGAGCTAACTAACTACCATAGCATTTGTTCAACTAGAACACAAACCGGTTCTAATTATAGCGATATATTTTTTATTGCTTGCCGTTGGAATACTGACTTACATCAAGTTAGACAGTTCTCGGAACGTTGGCCCTTCTGCCTAACATTACACGAAGCTGCTTTCTCCCTTAACTACCTAAGTTACACAAGTCTTCCCTAACTACCTTGCTGGCAACCTTGCAACATGACACGCGAGTGCTGGTATACCCTAACTGATATCTGTCGCATACTCTGCCTACCGCTGCTTATCCCTGCCTACTTCATCTATACCTCAAATGCATTTAGGGAGTACCAACAGGCCAGGACGCTCAAAAATTATCACAAAACGGATGTGTTGCCTCTGCCAGCCCGTCGACAACGGGCTCTTTCGATTCATGATACCCTTGAAAAACGACAGCAGCAGGAAACCTGGGAGAAACATGCAAAAGAGAAGGGACCCGAGCGGGTGGTGCATGATCAAAAACAGTCTCCATTGTTCCAACTTCCAACCGAGTTGAGATTTATGATTTATGAATGCGTTTTAGGAAGCCAGAAGATTCATATAGTGCATACCACCAGCCGCCAGCTGGCTGGAATAAACTCGACTGAATCATCAGAGGTGGTTGATGGCGATGAGGCCATCTGCAACTGTGTATCTGAGAACGTTGTGCACGCGAATAAAAAGACAGGCTGCACTTTTGCTGAGGATATTCTAGCCCCGGTAACATGCAAGCGTCCGGGTATTGGTATTCTCTCATTAATCCAATCATGCCGACAGATGTAAGAAGACTCCTTTGGCCCTCCGTCCGGCCCACCGTGAGAAAATACGCTGATAACCGCTGCAGTTACACCGAGGCCATAGAGGTGCTATATGCAAGGAGGACATTCAGTTTCGAACAGCCATATACATTCCTTGCTTTTGCCCACTCGATTCTACCACAGCGTTTGAATACTATACCGGGCATCGAGATAGCTCCTTGGGATTGGAGTGTTTTCTACAATGATGGCCGTTCACAGTTTTATCGGAAAGCCCGGCGATTTTGGCCACGAAGCAGAGGATGTAAGGAGCCTCTGCCGAACACATGGGAAATTTCCTGCCATGTTATCGCCCATGAAATGGAAAACTTAAAGGAGTTTCGGCTTAGGGTATACAGCCAAAAGATTCGCTGTCGTAGGCGAATATCATATTCTAGCCCGCATTCTAATTCGCAGGCAGCAACGGAAGTTATCTGTCGTCCATTGTATAAAATTGAAAAGCTGAAGAGGTTTGACATTGAGCTATGCTGGCCTATAAAATGGGAAATGCCGGAGAGTGCTCCCTTTAAGATAATAGCCCCTAGTTGGGGGAATCGTTATACAGATTATTAGACATGGGAAAGGAATAATGAAAAGCCAATTCATTTTGGGTTGAAATTCAGTATGCCCATTAGCGTGTATTTATATATCAATACTACCTAAGATAAATTAAACCAAGGGTATATTGTCAAGGTTTAGTATGGAATGCATGGTATGAATAAGAGACGGAAAAATATTACAAGGTAGATAGAAGCCGTGATGCGGATTATATAGTGGCTCAAAGGACTGGAAAGCCTACATGGAGGTACGAGAGTCCATCAGGGCCAATGCATGATGAAAACAACCGAATTTGGTAGAGAATAAGGATAAATCAGAGAAATGCGAAGGGTATAGTTGATGAGTGTTCATAATTCATTTTGAGATCATATCGCCCATCAGAAGGGGGATATGCAAGGCCGTAAATGAGATGAGATAATATCGGTAGTGACGGTATGATAGAGATGGGTAACAGAAAGTGGGGCATCTTTCTGGTTAAAAGGGTAATAGATGAGATTGGGAATTTGGAATAGAATATATGAGGCTGTTCTGGGGAATAGAGGAAGCTAGCAGCGTTCAAAGACTCGGTAGAGTCCTTTCAAGTCCGCTACTTCAATCACGCCTCGAACAAGATCGTTTGTGGCAACTAATCGTGAGCGAATAGCAGGGAATAATGTATGTTCAAGCATCCAGGACAACTGCTCTCGTCGACGGGTGATTGATTCGTCTTCTAATTCTGCTTCATCGTGGCTGGATGACTGGTCCGCCTGCGGGCTGTCTGTGGACGCGATGCCATTGTCTCTTGAGACATCAGACACGATAGAGTGTGGGCTACTTTCCCTGCCACCAGAGGCAGGCTGTCTCCCACAGCCATCTCGTGGGGTATTCGAAAAATGTGAAGCGGGGAGTTGTTCGGGGGTGTAGAATGCTGCGAGTTCTGTCAAGAATGTACGGAAGCAGGCTTCTTCGCCGCTCCAGTCCACATACGGGCCTAAACGGAGAAGGAATCGGGGTAGTTTTGTAAGAGATGGCATGTACCCTTTCAATAATAAGGGTATGGACAACAAACATCCATCTTCAGATATAGAAAGAGAGAAATACTCTTTTAGCATCTCCCTTCGGTCAATTAGATGCTTAGCCACAGTGGCGGCAGCGGCAGTAAAGTCTACAACAATGCCTTCGTCCATCCCACGGCTGGCATCTGATGTTACCGATGCTGTATCTCCATCGGGCGAATGATTATTGCGGTAGTACTCGTCACGCTCTGCCTCAACGGCTAGGGAAAGAAGATCAACGAGCTTTGGAGATGACTCGAGGTTGATGGATCCAAAGTTCCCAAAGTTTGTGAGTCCGAGCTGGTAGAAGAATTCGTTGCATGCCATTCCATAATCCACCAGATAGAGTTTGACGCCTGACTGTATGGCTGCAACTCGACGTCGCTCGTCTACTAGGCCGACGTAGGTACTTGAAGAAAATACTTCGGTGAGGCTATTGTGCATGGAGGAACGAACAGCTGTACGCAAGTTTTTTACAGAAGTAAGGCGGATATTCACAGCTTCCCTATTGACCTTCTGATAAGCAAGGCCTTGATGTCCGTTCTGTTTTTCTCCAGAGCCCGCTTCCGAACTTGCAGGGGGGAGCATCGACGTTATCTTCCGCAATTTCGCATCCGTCCGCACAAGATTATTTTCATAGGGTCGTTTCGTTCCAGCGACCGTTCGAAGAGCTAACCTTTCACCCTCTCCGCCCAAAGAAGCGTCTCTGGCGGATGGTGATGGCTCTGGAGGGCGTATTCCAGGAAGGAGTGTTTGTGTCATAAAGGTACGGCTTGAGTCAACCGCAGCAAGCTTGGTCCTAATGGCACTGCATATAGATTCGATGATCTCATCTTCGTTTAAAAAGTTGACTTCTCGCTTTGTGGGATGAACGTTGACGTCAAGGCGTTGGGGTTCAATTTCAAGATCAAGGTAGACAAATGGATGGCCACCCTTTGGAAGGAAAGTCGAATAAGTCTGTTCCACGGCTCGCTTGATGGCGGTTGACTCGACGGAACGGTGGTTGATGAATATCAGAAGGGTCGTCTTTTTGGCATGGTAGTTGGCGTTGGTCACCCAGGCCGAAGTACGACACCCCCACCGCTTGTCGTCCACTTCAAGAGAGACCAGCTCGTTGGCCACAGCACCACCATGAAGCTGCCTTATCCGGTCGACTATCGATGAGTTTATCGAGGTTGACAGGCTGACGCCGGCTTCTCCATGCTTCTTGCAGGAGAATGCAGTTCCGCTGCAATGTACCGCATAGCGCCCCACGATGTCCAGGATCTTTGCATATTCTTCGCTTGCCGATCGGAACGCACGACGCCTGGTAGGAACATTATAGAACAAATCTTCTACCTGAGAACCCCAGTAAATATGATATTCATATAAAATAAATCATTATGGTTAGGTGCTTGGTTACTAACTGTGATCTGGGTGCCTTTGCGTCCGGCGATAGGCTTGGGCGAAGCACTCTGTCCCGGCTTTGCTGGTACGAGCTTTCCGTCACTGTAATGAGCCCTCCAGGCACAACTCGACCCAGCCGTCTTTGTTGTCACCGTCAAATGGGCCACATGGCTGATGCTGGCCAGGGCTTCGCCGCGGAACCCGTACGTAGCGATGGAGGAGAGGTCCTCGAAGGCCTGTAGCTTTGATGTAGTAAACCTCTCACACAGAATTGGAAGATCATCGTTCTGGAAATGCAAGTCGGTCAGTTTGACACATAAAGACGGCATCGAAGATCCCAAATACTAACGTCGATTCCATGGCCATTATCGGTGATCTGGAGGAGCTTGAGCCCTCCCTCTCTGACCAGAATCTCCACGGAGGTTGAGCCAGCATCCACTGAGTTCTCAATCAGCTCCTTCAATGCGTGCATAGGAGCCACGATGATCTCCCCGGCAGCGATCTTGTTGATAACATCCGGATCTAACGCCTTCAGACAGCGTCAGCATCAGCACCAGCTCTCTCTCTCTCTCTCTCTCTCTCGTCCCTCTCTCTGAATGCATCACGTGACTCACCTGGATCTTCCTGGGCCGAGCAGCGCCAGCAGCAGAGGACGAGCTGGCGTTTGCTGCCTCCGCGTCTGCGTCTGCGTCTGGCGCCGGCCGCTTGAGGCCCCGCGGCCCTTGAAACGTCGAGTCGAGGTCCATCCTGTCGCCGTCCATCATCTGTGCCTGTCGGGGCGACTCGCTCTTGTCCCCCCAAAGCAGAAGTTGGCGCGACGGGCGCTGGCGGTATATATGAAGTTGGACGAGGAGGGCCCGTCAGCCTGGCTAGGGGCGGGCGGGAGGTTGGGCTGGGCTGGCCGAGGTCTAGGCTTGCACCACGTTCCCCATCGCAGGCGTAAGCAGCAGCAGCACCGAGCGGCAAGAGGCGAGAACGGAGCGAAAGGGGGAGAACAAAAGAAAAGAACAAGAGGCAGATCGAGGGGCACGGCCTGGATCCCTCGCTCCCGTTGACGCTGTGTGATGTGCAGGAGGCAGGGCCAAAAGCAAAGACTAACCGAGACTCGATGAGAACCTGTCACTTTTTCTATTCTACTTGTTTCTTTCTTTCTTTCTTATCTTCGTCTTCTTCGTCTTCTTTTATTTTTATTTTTTATTTTTTCTTATTTTTCTTATTTTTTTTGCTTTTCTGGGGCAAGAAAAGAGTATGCTCACGTGATAGTGGATCCCGTGCATGAGGATTACATAAGAAGGCCTGGAACCATCACGTGGTTTGACAGCCAAGAGCGGAAAAAGGAGACGTCGAGGAAGAAAGAAAGAGAGAGAGATACATAGAGAGATACATGGCGATAACGAGAAGGAAGACACGAGACAAGGGACGAAGGACGAGGGCGAAGGCGAAAGACGGGACGGGACGTGGAGGGGACAGCGTGTCCGGGCAGGGGCTGGGCCAGACCAGCTCGAGCAACGGCCATGCCTCCTCGGAGCCCGTATTTCTTTTCGAAGGATAGCGATGGTTACAGAGTCGCTGCGGCCAACAGCCACACTGCAACTGTGAAACCGATGGTCCGAGTATCCCGGCGGTAAGAGCGGACCGCGATGCAGGAAAAATAAGTAGCAGGGACGGTTCTTGATCGACGTTGGGAATCTGCTGAAGACGAGGAGTGCCGCGAGCCAGGCCTGTTGCCAACAAGGCTCATGCAGCGCTGGAAATGCCCTCATGCCTGCAACAAAATGATATGCTATGGCATGCAACGTCTGTCTGGTTCGGCACTGGATTCCTTGAAAATATTGCATGTCTCCCCCCCTCTTCTGGATCGAACCAGCTTGGGACTCCGGGTCGCCCTATGTGCTGGCCAGGATGCCAGGGATGCTGCCTCTCCGCTCTGCCGATCGAACACGAAACCCTCTACCAGCCTTGTTCGGGCTTGTTCCTTCTCCGAATTTCTCTCATCGTGTTGCTATATTGCCGGGATGAACACCTGGTAACAAAGAAAAATCACAGCAAAATCGATGTAAGTACTTAATTAATACTGGGTATCCGCTGGGCCAGGGGGATCGATCCAGGCTTTTCTTATCGGGGTATAATGGTTATGCTTTCCAGGATCTGGTTCCAGATCTACAAACATGTTCAAGGTCAAATTATAAGAATATACTCCGTTCCCGGATGGGAGATGGATATACGGGGTATGCTCTTGGACCTCAATTTTTTATGCCTCCAATTTAAACATGCCCTTTGGCCGCGATCCACCCTTATCCAGCCGCCGATGGGGTCGTCTAAGCCGCGTAAAACCCGTCCCCGGAAGAATAAAACAGCTTCTCTTGTGTCAACTTCAAATATCCTCACGCAAGGACGGCAGGTGGTGCAGGGCTAGACCTTGACTTGGTTCCTACAACAATGCGACTCTCGGCCGCAAACTCAGGGGCCACAAATGAGTGTCTTTTCAGCTCTGGGCCGCACCAATCGCCTCGAGCACACTATCTCATGATCACTAACAGTTAAGGCTCTCTATCTCTCTCGGCTGCAGAATTATTTTAATGTTAAGATCCGTTTCTTGCATGCATAACAGCGGAAGAGATTTTAAATCCAGCCAGGCTCCATACTTTTGAAGGTTGGCACAACTCCTTGTTCCAGACACAGATATGCAGCATCTTCTGCCTGGCATCACGCATGCATGCTCAAGCTATCCCATTCGGCCACGTCTCAGGAAAAACCTCGTGCGTTGAATTTCATTATCAAAATGTCGGCTTCTCGGCTAGAATATCAGCAGGGTCAAGGACTTCTACAATATTCATACTGCCGAAGACAGGTTTTGCTCTTTAGCCAACTACCACCCATGGAGTACTCCGTAACTTGGCAATAATTAATCTCACAGCTGTCAGCTCCTCCAGATCATGATCATCCGTTGCTGGCGATGAACCTCTCATGTCCTATTCGCCCCCCAAGGATCTTCTTTACAGGTACTAGCACATCAGGAAGAAGGTCGATCGCATGGAGCAAATCTTGCATCTTGACCTGGGAAAAAACATTGCTTTCCCTGGGCTGTCGATGTTAGTGATCAGCCAGTTAAGCTGATTGTCGCTGTGCCACCGGCTTTGAGTGCTCCGCAATAGCAGTGTGATGTGAAGATCACCGTTAAATAGCCTTGACTATAACTCTGTACATCTAGACTTTGAGGTTGGACAGTCTATATGAGTCTCTGTGCCATCTCCCATCGCTCACAGCAGTAGTACTCCTGTGCTTAGGCTGGCTGGCTGGCTTCTTTCTTGCTTCAAGCTGGCTTAGGTAGCGAACTACTCGTGCATGAAGAACCATGGGGCCGTGGAGCAATCACGTGGGCGGGCCAGCCGCAGCCGCGAGAAGGACGCCTAAGCCAGCTCAGGAGACAAACCATCCGACCAAGAGCTGATTCCAGCAGCTTAAGCCCTTTTCAAGGCATAGCTATCTATTCAAGAGTTTTTGGAGGCTGGAAGTCCCTTCTCATTCTCAGAGGGCCATACGAGCAGCCTTGCTTATATGTGCACCTCATCTCAGTTGCGGAGAACCATGATATACTGTCTCTCGTCGAACTGGGGCTGATTCATGCTAAGCGCATACGCTCCATCTGGGGTATTATAATTTCATTATTATATACCTTCTGTTCTATGAGCTGTGCGTTTCTTCCCCTGCTACAAGTCGGTTTCCTAGCAATGGCCCTCTAACACCAACACAGACACTACAGCGCGACCCCGATTTGCTGGTTACTTAGACCGAAACGATGTCTTCGTCGAAACACTTATTTCTCAGCGACGAGGAGCTTGGAAAGAAATATGACGACCGCAATCGTCGCGATTCTATATACGGGATATCAGCTGCAGGTCTCTGGAGGCGCATCCCACGACGAAGGCGCATTGCCTTGGCTATAGTTGTCACCCTCGTCGTTTTCATATTATGCAGACACATGCCAACTCGGGCGGGAGACGTTAGTCAAAGATCGCAGTTATGGGATGATCCATGGCTGCGCCCATCCCGTGATACCAATATTGGGCCGGGGCTAGCTGAAATAGACAACACACCCGATGAGAATGGTGTTAAATATTATCGGGGGCCTATCGAGTTCGAGTCGCTGTTTCAATCGCTATACTCAACTCGCAGCTTGAGAGATGATGCAGATCAGGAAACTGTTATCTTTGCAACCGGGCAGTTGAAGTCACTGGGTGATATGCTTCCTGTCGCATGCAACATGGCTGCGAGGAAACTGAATACAGTCCATCTAGCAATCATGGGACGAGAGAAAATATCTATTGCTGATATCCAGAGAGCCAATGGGTTTCGGGAAGATGATTGCCCTGTAATATGGCATGGTATGCAAGCTTCACACCTCCACTCAGTATAGTCATACCATTTATTCTAATTATATGAGTGTAGATGCACGACCAATCCATGCATCTTCGTCTAGCCCCTGGCGCCTGGAGTTAAGCGTCAAAGCTGCTGTGGTTCATATGTATAGAATCCTAGCTCCTCGAGCTTTCATAACCCGTGATATCGAATTTGAAGAAGCGTTTTTCATCGACGCAATTGAGCTTCGAACCTTTCAACTGGGTATAACGCATATTAGCTTACCCAGCTCACTCTCTAATTTTAAATGGATTGCGGATTTGGATGCTTTTTCTCTTGAAAGTATGATAACCCTTCAAACATTCCTAGGCTTTACAATTTGATAGCAATACTAATGTCATGTAGCTTGGAATGATGTACAAACAGAAATTCTTATTAATGTCCATCCTAACTCTTCGGGGGGCCTTCGGAAGCTGCTTAGGTCTCTCCAAGAGGCAGACTACTTCGGGCCGACACCGGGGCTAACAATCGAACTGCCAGTTGATGCTGACCCAACATTACTCTATTTTCTCAGTAACTTCCGCTGGCCACCCAAGACACCTCACCGTCAGTTTACTTTGCGTCGAAGAATCTCGCCCTCTATCTTAACGTCACAAGAGGCTGCAGTCAGAACAATCGATTCGTTTTACCCGAAGAACCCCAACCTTTCCCATGTTTTGGTAATTTCTCAGGACACAGAATTGGCGCCGTCCTTCTTCCATTTCCTCAAGTATTCTCTATTGAAGTATAAATACGGCGATAGCGAAGACTTGCCGGGTCACCTGCTTGGAATTTCCTTGGAGCTACCCTCCTCTCGTCCAACTGACGGGAAACCGTTCTCTGCACCCATGAGTGTATTAAGTTCCAATCCTTCGAAGGAACAGCCAGCCACGATTCCAACATTACTATGGCAGATGCCTACCAATAATGCTGTTCTGTATTTCGGAGATATGTGGACGGAATTTCAGTCATTCCTATCCCACCGCCTTTCTCCATCGATACAAATGAAAGGGAAAGACGTCAAAAAAGTTATCACTAAGTCATACCCTTCATGGATGGATTACATGCTTGAATTTATGCGCACTCGTGATTACTACCTTGCATACCCTGCATTTGCTGCCCAAGACGACCTTGCCATAGCCACAGTCCACAACGAACTATACCAACCTCCGGAGGAGTACGACAATCCAAACCAAAGACAAGTACAGTCGAAATTTGAAGAAAAGGATCTCGCCCACTCTTCTTCAACCTTGTCTACATTATTAGATGTATACCCAGGAATGTTACCAGATGTTCGCGAGTTGCCAGTATTGCCTTACACCGGGGAACTGACAGATGATGAATCCACGAATGGACGAGAGTCATTTCTACAAACGTTTCGAAAAGAAATTGGTGGCTGTGCCAGCAATGACGAGAAGCCGGAGAGCGTTCCGCTCAAAGCCGATGATCTTTTCTGCATTGGAGAGGAATCAATATCTAAAGGAGATGTTGAGGTTTCTGTTTAGTAGTTAATTTACCCGATGATGCCCAAATATTGTATATTACTTCTTATTTACTAACAATATAATGTCCCCTGATAGTGTATATTGGCTACCTCGTAAATCTAGGTTACGTAATCATCATCAAGCTTCCAGATCCGAAAGCAAACCAAAACGAGCTTCGGAGAACTAGCAGAGCGCTTTGAACATACAACGCAGAACAACCTACCTCACCCGCAAGACAACGGCCGCGAGCACTCGATCCCAGACCTCCTCTGAAAGCTTTGTCAGGTAGGACTTTCACAGACAGAGCTGCACCCACCTCCGTATTTACACAACCCTCTTCATCAGTCACTCCCATGGCGAAGGACGAACTGCCATCCTCCAGTGCTGGGAAGGGCAAGGCAGAGGACACGAAGGAAATAAATGGAGGGAAAAATGAAGGCAAAGATGGGAAACCTGTTGTGAACGGCAAAAAGGAGGAGGAGCCTCAAGAAGGTGCGCGCGGTTTTCTACGCAAGCTGTTTATGCTGGGTGTCAGCTGCTAACTTGCGCGCCAGAGGAACTCAATGAGGAAGACCAGCAGCTTAAAAATGAGCTTGAGATGCTCGTTGAGAGACTGCAGGTATGTGATATTACTGGGGCTAGGCCTCTTCCAGAGCAGCTACCACATTCTCACTTACGATGCAGCAATAAACTGACCGTCTTTGCGTAGGAATCCGATACATCTCTTTACAAACCGGCTCTTGAGGCTATCAAAACTTTCATTAAAACCTCTACTTCTTCCATGACAGCAGTACCGAAACCACTTAAATTTCTCAGACCGCACTATGATGACCTCGCCAAAGTATATGATGAGTGGTCGTCTGGGGATGATAAGGTATGGAAATCTGCACTCACGGATGTGCCAAAGAGAACGCTAACCGCCCTTAAAGGATTCCCTCGCGGATATTCTTTCAGTGCTAGGAATGACATATGGAGTCGAGGACAAGCTCGAGACGCTTAAATACCGCCTGCTCGCAAAATCAGACGACCTTGGATCCTGGGGTCACGAATATATTCGTCACCTTGCTCTGGAAATAGGTCAGGAATACCAAAACCGGTTGACCGATGATAAGGATGTACAGGATCTCGTGGACCTTTCGTTGTCACTTGTGCCTTACTTCCTCAGCCATAATGCCGAGGCAGACGCGGTTGACTTGCTCAGTGAGCTAGAGATGATCGAGGAATTGCCCCGTTTTGTTGACGAGAATACTTATCCACGAGTTTGTCTTTACATGGTCAGCATGGTCAACTTGCTCACATACCCAGAGGACCATCAGTTTTTACGCACCGTCCACGACATCTATCTTCAATATAAGAAGCTCACACAGGCTATTGTCATCGCTATACGCCTGAATGACCTTGAGCTGATTCAGAGCGACTTCCAAGAAACAACAGATAAGGCGGTAAAATACCAAATGGCATTTTTAGTTGCTCGTCAACGGATATGGCTTGAGCTTGAAGATGATGATATGCAACTGGCAGATTGTCTCAACAACATTGCCCTCCCCACTCACTTCAAGTCTCTCGCAAAGGAGCTGAATATTCTCGAGCCAAAAATGCCAGAGGATATCTACAAAACCCACCTTGAAAACAACAGAGGAAGCCTTACCAATGTCGACTCTGCACGACACAATCTTGCCAGTGCTTTCGTTAACGCCTTCACCAATGCTGGCTTTGGAAACGATAAAATGATGCTTGTGGATGGGGATAAGGGGCCGTGGGTTTGGAAAACGAAGGACGATGGAATGTTGTCTACTGCGGCCTCACTGGGTATGCTTCTTCAGTGGGATGTCGAGGAAGGCTTAAACCAGATAGACAAGTTCACCTATGCGGAAGAAGACCAAATTAGAGCGGGAGCGCTTCTTGGAATTGGTATTATGAACGCAGGTGTAAGAGTCGACTCAGACCCCGCTCTAGCGCTTCTCGGAGACTATGAAAATCTTGAGAACAAGAGCATTCCAATGAGGGTAGCGTCAATCATGGGTCTCGGTCTGGCGTATGCCGGATCATGCAAGGAAGAGCTTCTCGAATTGCTTCTCCCGATTGTTGAGGATGTGACTGTCGACATGCAAATTTCTGCCATGGCTGCTGTGTCCCTTGGTATGATCTTTGTGGGTTCATCCAACCACCAAGTTAGTGAGGCGATAGCCACCACTCTGATGGATGAAGAGAGGCAGAAACACTTGAAGGACAAGTGGACTCGTTTCATGGCACTTGGCCTAGCGCTCCTCTACTTTGGAAAACAAGAGGAAGTTGAGGTTGTCCTAGATATCCTTAAGGTGATCGAGCATCCCATGGCGAAGCCAACATCTGTTCTCGCGTCAGTTTGTGCGTGGGCTGGAACCGGCACGGTCTTGAAGCTACAGGAGCTTCTCCATATTTGTAACGAAGTCTTTGAGGATAAGGAGGAAAACAAGGGCGAGGAGCTTGTGCAGTCATATGCCGTCTTAGGACTGTCTCTGATTGCCATGGGTGAGGATATTGGCCAGGACATGGTTCTAAGGCAGTTTGGCCATCTCATGCACTATGGCGCTGCGAACATTCGAAAGGCAGTTCCTCTTGCTATGGGATTGATCAGCCCGAGCAACCCGCAGATGAAGGTATACGATACACTCTCCAGATACAGCCACGATAACGATAACGATGTTGCTATCAACGCCATTTTCGCTATGGGACTCTTGGGAGCAGGCACCAACAATGCTCGTTTGGCACAATTGCTCCGCCAACTCGCAAGCTACTACCAGCGCGATCAAAACTCACTGTTTATGGTCCGCATTGCGCAGGGGCTTCTCCATATGGGCAAGGGAAGCATGTCCGTGAACCCCTTCCACACCGACCGTCAAGTTCTCTCGAGAGTTGCAGCGGCCGGCCTCTTGACTGTTCTTGTGGCGATGATCGACGCTAAAGATTTTATCCTGGCTGACTCCCATTACCTCCTCTACTACCTTGTTACCGCCATGAACCCACGGTTCCTTGTCACTCTCGACGAGGATCTCAAACCTCTCACCGTTAATGTTCGTGTCGGTCAGGCCGTCGATGTGGTTGGCCAGGCCGGAAGACCCAAGACCATCACCGGCTGGCAGACACAGAGCACCCCGGTACTATTATCGTACGGAGAACGAGCTGAGCTAGAAGACGAAGAGTACATCTGTCTAAGCAGTACTCTTGAGGGGCTCGTAATCCTGCGAAAGGTTAGTCCACTGAACCCCCTCCCGGGTAGTTGTTGAGTTTGAGTGTTGCTAACCATCTATCGTATTTTATAGAACCCGGACTGGGAGGAAAGCTCGACATGAGACGATACATGTGCATAGCCCTGTATGTATTGTTAAGATTTAAATCCATTATTTCCGTCATCAGTCAAAATCTAGCTCATAGTCTTGCGGGATCCATCGGCTGTTCCCTTGATCAAACCGTGGTAGTTATTAACCAGGGGCCCCAATCCAATCGCGAGTGAGCGACCCAATAGAAAGTAGACAAAATGGAAGCTTCAACTAACTGAATAAAGCGCGGCAATCATTTTCCTAGTAATAAATAGTAGGCTAGATATGTTGATATCCCACTCTCTACATTGCTTCTGAAAGGATGCGATAATATATAGTTTTAGTCAGGCTGTTCGTCCGCGGTGGCTCTCATGACCAGGATAAATCCATAGATATCCTGCGATGCTACGATGCTACGATGCTCGCATACTGTGGATCCGCAGCCGACCACGCGAAGATTACCAAGGAAATCCTATCCATCGCTGACAGTATCCGAGCATATACACGAAGGCAGCTGACAGCTGATGGTATCAACTGAGTCGGCCTTTGGCTGTCTTTGGTGTTCATCTCGAGTTACACCGTCGCGCAAGTAACCCAACCCATAGCCGGTCACGGGGTGTGCGCTGGAGAAAGCAGAAGACGAAATGATGAAGAAGAGCAACATGATGCTGATGACTGACGATGGTGATGATTAAGGCGATAGCAAAGGGCTGAGAGGCAGTTCTTTCAGAAGCAAGAAGACTCATTTTGTTTGATATATAAGAATGACTCTGAAAGCTGCTGCCGGGCATGCCTTCTCTCTGCCATCGCCATCGCCATCGCCAACTTCATCGCCCGCATCCACGCCAGCCCCGATATCACCCCCGAGGAAGACACAGAGAAGTCTATATACCCTTCTATCATCTTGCTATACCCAGGATAGATGCCTCCTGTGGCCGAGGAACTTGTTCGGAGAGTGCCCGAGTTCGGTGAGCCGTCTATAGGAGTTGCTATTCACTGGACGGACCCAAAGGACATCCTCTCTGTTCTCTTCATCCTCGGCGGCGATCTCGTTGAACATGCCTTTGCTCAGCTTGTTGGGACTCCGGTTCCACCGGTTGCTTTCTCGTTTGGTAGGCCATTCCAGCTGCGAGTATATTCGGCTGTGACATAACAGATTTTACCAGGATGCGTTTCATACGATTGAATGCCGTGTTATCAGCCATAGGAAAGAACAGGGTCATTGCTCGATACAGATTCAATCATGCAAGATCATCAAACGGCGAGACAGGTGCCCTCGTTTGACAATACCAAGCCTGGGTACTTGGCCCGTCTACTGAGGGATCACGACTACTGGAAACACAAGGACGTCCCATCACCATCTCAAAGGCAACATTACTCGAAAATGGGACCAGATGAAACTTGACAGTATAACCACTCATGGCACCTGTGCCAAAGTCAAAAAACCTAAGAAAGCTGGCCTCTGTGTATCTATATACAAGGCTAAGGAGGAAGGCCTGGGTCGACCGAAAAGAGATAAATTCGACTACAGCGGCATGTTCACTACACTCCTCCAGCTTGCGCTTTCAGCGGTTCCACTAATGAGAGAAGGCGACTGGTCACCATTCCTAACAACCTTGAGCGGTGCTTTGCTGTCTATCATATCAGGTTGCTTGCGGCAGTGGCGGCGGGAGAAGTGGCCGTGTTGCGCAAGCTCGGAGAAGACAGTGGTTTTGACAAAAGGCGCTGGCTGTCAACATGCTATTGCCATTATTGGAGATGGGCGCGGCTTCGACCTTGAAGAAATGGCTGTGGGTTCAGAGGAGAGAGACTTACCTTGTGACCTCTTCACCAGAGTTGCAGTTTTCATCCTCGCTGTACTCTGGGTCCTGCTTGTTATATTCGCAGCTGGGCTCAAAACTAATGCTTGGTATGTCATCACAGCAGGCGGCATGGGAACCATCCAGAATGCATACGTTGTTGGAGGTAAACGCACACCAGAGTCCTTCGGCTTGCCTCTCGAGTTTCTGGATGTTATCGGCGAGCTTGGTGTTATGGATACCTTGCTTGCTGTAGAAGAGAAATACCCTAACCTTGGGAGCAATATGGTATCTACTTTCTTTCCGGATGGCCAAATGACAGAGGAATATCATCAGAGATGGGAGACTCTCCGAGCGAGAGCCGCCTTGCAGTCAGGAAAACCACGCCGAAGCCAAACCATTTAATCTTACCCGTTAATGTGCATTTTCCACAATGGGAATACGAACATCAATTTCATTCCTTTCGTCAATGTTCTAATGAGGTGTTACAAGGTTCATCCGGCTATTCTCTTATTGTCTGTTTATTGTTCCTGGGATATTTGGACGGAGCGTATGCTTAGCGGCATCATATTGGAGTTTATGTTTCCATCAATAGAGTTATGAACTAGAACGAGAAACCGAGTAGTTAACGAGCTTCGAAGAACTAGATACGAATGATAACAATCCTTGACGTAGAAAAACATTACTGGTCCAGTTGCAAATATCAATACACCAACTACATCGATTGGCTAATTAATCTCAGAAATGCGAGCCTAGCAGAACAATTAATTTCAGAGATGCATTGGTTTCATTTCCTGAGATTGATATCTGCTATCCATGCGAAGTTACATCTGCCTTCATAGGTCTAGGCAGCTAACGTAAACCAATATGGCGGTGCTACGGCTTACCGGGGACAGACGACTAGCTATGCTAGCACTTATGAAGTTCCACAAGAGTTCCATGATGGTTCCAGAAGAAGGGTGTTTGGGAAGGAGGTAAGGAGATATTTCCCGGTTTCAAAAGCTTGAGTGGGAATGTATGTATCTACTAGATATAGACAATGGCGAATAGTTATTATCTAATGGATATAGGTATGGTTTCATGTACAAGCTCCTCAAAGGGCTGAAGAATGATGGCAGATGATCGACGAAGTTCCGTACGAACGCGTAAACATGTAAGACAGTCACTCGTCAAGCTTGAACATCTACTCCTCGTATATGTAAGTATAGTATTTATTCATGAGCAAAGAGAGAAAATATCCTATCATATTTGCTTTTGGGAGCACAATGGTGGCCACCCGCAAAGTATGGAAGCCGGATCCCTGTGTCCGACAGTACCCCCGACTTCCTGAAACTCCTCGCTCACAAATGACCTTCTGTGTATCGATCAACGTGAAGTTCAGGTGGGGGGAACGTCGTGAACAGTAGGGTCAATATTCATCATTTGGCTTCCCCATATAGACAAACACAGTCTCCGCCCTGTGTTGACCACAAACTAGGCAATTATAATGGGGTGTAGTCGGCCCCTCCTCCTCGCAGTCCTTACGAATATACGTCTCTGATATGAGTAAAATGACGGGCTATAAGCCCACGCCTCAGCCGCAGTAAAGTCTTCGGCAATTTCCAGGCTTAAATGCCTGCTCCTAGTCCTGAGATAACGATCTTCTTCCCCGCTGCCGAGGGCGAGGGGCTTTGAGAGCACCAAACCCTGGGTATATGATGTTTTTCGATCTTGTCTGGGTGAAGGAGGGACACGGGAGGGCATCCGTCATGGTGTGGCAGTTGTATATGTCAAACAACCTGCCTCTTCAGCCCCGGGGTCGCTGGCAGGTCGGGCACCAGAAACCAAGACCATGTAATGCTTGTCGGTTCCATGCCAGGCACTTCAACTTCGAATTATGCGTCGAACCACCATCCTTCGTCTCGACGACAAAGCGTTCTTATCATTTTCTCTAAAGAGCCGATAAGCTTGTCGTCATATCCATGATAACCTAGTTATGTACCTTGGGAGTAAGAGAGGTATTAAGACATGCAGACACTGGCTCTTCACATGCGAGAAGCCCTGGCCTCCCTCAACCCCGTCCCACGTTAGTTATATCAACGCAGTTATTAGCAATGTCCTGCAGGCACGCCTATTATTAGCTCGCTGTCCGGTTCTTTCGCAGTTTGTATTGGTATTGAGTAAAAGATTAGAGTAAACAGCGCCGTGGATGGTTTAAAAAGACCTGCAAACTCAAAAATTAGAGTTTCCAAGAGATGATATTATATAATAAAGGTCCGTGCGTGTCTAGATTGAGACTAGCGTCACGCCGGCGTTTCATGGTTAGACGCTAGGCCTATCTTGGAAATAGCCGTGGCTCCGGACGCGGATAAACCCGATCCGCAGCCAATCAGAGCGGCCTGATGAGTTTAGCGCGCTCAAACTCCAACTTCAAATCAAACGAAACAACAACCATCACACACTTTGGCATCGCGATCTTGATGCAAAGTACTAGCAATCTAGCCTGCTGCTAATCGAGGGCTATACATGGGTATCCCTTCACACTCATGGGATGGGTGACATGCCACGCACCCCGACAAGACCCGCATCCAAGATACAGACACACAGGAAAACTGGATATCAAACGCCCCGAGCGCTTCTCGGCCAGCCCAGAGTTGGTACCCCCCAGGCGCCACACTCCCGATGGCTCTTTCTCTGTGTATGTGGCCTGATTCATCTCTCCCGTGTATATTCAACGATCTTCTCTTGGCCGACACACTCAGGGCACCGGCTATCTCATACCCAACCTACCTTGCCTCCGTCCTTCCTATTCAGACCATGGCTATAATACCAGCGCCGTTCCTGAGGATCCAGATGGCGTTCGGGGATGCCGCCCATGGCCGGGTTCTAGGATTCGAAGTCTCAATGCCTTTCATCTTCAGAAAACTAGTCCTGGTCGTCCCCTCTCTAATCTACCACGCCTGTCCATACAAATCCATACATTAAGTCACTACGGAGTACTCACGTCATGGTTACCCCCACTAACCGCGGGAACCCAGAGCAATAACCTAAAACACACCCTCCTGAATCAAGTCTGGACTTGATTATTAGTGATGTGGTGGTGTGGTCTTCCCCCCAGGCAATTTTTTGTTGCCCTTGATACCATACTCCGTACACAGGCGCCTGACCGTAATCAGATTGAAAGACTTCGAGGCTGAGCTTCCTCGGAGATTGTCCACCCGCTATACGCCTCGAGATTCTATTCAGAACCAGAACAAGGTTCTCATTTCTTCATTCTAAATCTAGACAGATTCATACGTCTATACATACGTACACAATGACTGTCGATGATCCTTCCCCTATATTGGACACGTTTTAATTCCAGTCTGCCCGGAAGTTTTCTTTGTTAAAATTATATTATCATCCGCCAAGCCGGGTTCAATTGGCCAGATTACCTTATTTCTTATGCATGACTTCGTTTCTCGACCATTCAGAATCCATTCTTCGGAAAACGGGGAATGTGCGACGCCTGAAAGCGGGACGCCAACCTGCATGGCATACCGGGACATTTCGATCATGGTCTCCGCGAGGTCATCATCCCGTACCGTACCGTCATCGTAGCTTTTTACTCTTGGGAAGCGTATAAGCATGGGAACCCCAGCTTCTCTCATTCACTCGAACGGTTAAGTTTTCTTTCTTTGCCTGTGAATTCCAGCTTCGAATGAAGAACTTACATGCTTACACCTGCAGATCTACCACGTTGACGGGGGCCTCCTCACGATTTTTCCATCACGTAGCCTCTCTCCACTTGCGGGATTATCACTTTCAGTCAGAGCCAAGCTCCATCCAAGCTTCTATTTTGTTCCTCGATGCTCCTTTCTTCCTCTCGCTAAAGGGTAGCATCAAATTTTAAAGAAAAATACGGGCAGCACCAAGCATGTTCAAATAGGGTCAAATTTGATTTTCCCAGGATCTCCAACATCCTGGCTCAGATCGCCGAGAAGGTAGAACGTGATGAATCAACTAAGTTCTTCCCTCCAATCTAAAAAAGGAGCTTATCTCGGAACAGCTCAGTTTCGTGCTTGAATCATATACTTACTCACACATATACCCTTCGTTTTATTGTATGTTTCAAGCAATGATATATTAGACACTTCCACTCTTCCATTATTACCACCGCCATGATCCTTCCACACTCTCATTCTTTTTATCTAGATTCGTATCCGGCCCTTTTGCTCATTTTCCTATATTACTGACAACCTTCATTACCCATCTAACAATATACCATCTCTTTCCCTCTGGTAGCCCAGTTAACTTTGAAAGTTAAATCACACCTCTAACCAATATACCCGCTGTTTTTGCCGGACGTTCCATGACACGCACTGGTCCATTCTTGCTATTAAGCTATATTATCAGGTCCTTTCCGCTGACCTCTCTCCATTTCGGCAAGACCTGTCCTTCAGCTTTCATTCGGCTCGCCTCTACTATTACTATCATTCACTCTATCAGCTACCATCGATCCCAGGAGACCCTACTTTCCCTGGTATATAACTGAGTAATCACCTATTCTGCTGGTGGTTGATCTCTTCAACATGTGCAACTTTTTCAAGAACTTCTACGTTTACAGTTCGTGCCGGGACCCAGGTAACCATTTCTTCCGCATCTCTACCGATGGCTCGGGCGACCTCAGGTGTCCTGGAAGCCCTCATGAGCGGTTTATAGTGGTTGTTGGCCAATGTCGGGTCTGCAAACGTTGATTTGGAAAATGCGATGCACCCTCTCAGGCTCGTTGTGCATTTCGATCATGCTATATGAGATCTTCCGGCTATAAACCACCAATATTGCTTACTATAGTAATTCTTCCTTCTTTCTCCCGGTTAGTTATCAATTCCACATTACATATCTGATTCCAGGGCTAACCGCAGTAAATAGAAAACCTCTTTTACGACTATTGATTATTTAGTACGAAGAATTGCAGGCAGTTCTACACAATCTTCCCTCATGAAAACCATGGTCAACTCTTCTTTGTTGACGATGTAATGCCTGGGCTATGCCGAACAGTTTTGCTATGAGATACCACTTGCCTGATCTTGTTTTCTTTACGTTTCCTTTTTGTCTACGTGCTACCTGCTTCTGTATTTCTATTGATTTATTTAAGGCACTGGTGTGAGAGAGTGGTTCACAAAAGCTCAACGTATCTTGTCTTACTCAAAAAAAAATCTTACTGGCACACATGGAGTACGGTTGATGCAACACAGAATATTCACCATAAATACCGGTGTATCAGAGCGCGGAGTGCGCTATTGTCCCCCATACATATTTCTTCACCATTACCCGGATTTGCTGCTTCAAGCCAAGTTTAAACAACTGGGCGGACTAGAGTTCGAGCATGCCCATACCTTGCTGGTGTTATGGCGATTAGGCGGAGTCTAGAGGTCTATGGATCTGAACATAAGACGGGTCACATAACATCCATAGCCATCAAAGCAGGGTTATGTTTATAAGAGACAGACTAGAACATACTCCGTATACTAGTTGGACTTGTCGCGATAACCAAGGCCATACCACACACCTAGGAATGTTGGCTCAGGTCTAAAAGCTGCGATACCAACTCGCCTAAACAGGTTTTCGCAGAGGTAACCGAGGGCGAAGCGTATCCTTTACTAAAAATAAGTATATAGCAACGTACATATGATTAGAATGAATCTATTTGACACGACGCTTGTTTCAGGGAGAGAGAAAAGCCGAGAGCTATATCAGCAAGAGTTTCGATTCCTAAGCCAGAATCATTCCTGATAATCGTATACTTGACAGAAAATGTCCAGGTTTGTGCCGTTTCTTTGTATCTAGCTTGTTGTAGCTTCGCGGCTATACTGAACTTGACACATAATACTCCATTACAGCCCATGGAAATGGGTTCTAGCAGCGAAGGTTCCAGTGTTCAATGGCTCAAAGTGCGTTGAGCGCCATAAGTATACGAAGTTTGGTACTCCGTACTAGCTGTAGAGTTAGTCGGATAAGGAGATTTTCCCTCCTGCATGTAAGGCATTGAGCGCAAGGCCGTTGAATGGAAGAAACAGAGGCTTAAAATGAACTGAAATGCAATAAAAGGTTATTATTTTTAAACAGCTGGTTACGATGTGAGGACCGCCGTAGTTAGGTTGTTTCATATTTCAATTGCATCGAAATTACGCAGCTGGTTAATGCAGCGGTTCTTCTTGTAGCCACTCCGTACTGGTCAGTAACTAACAATTGAACCCTTACGGCCTAGTTATTCCCCCTGATCTTAACAGAATGGCATCTGACTAACTACTTCTGTAGCAACCGATAAATTGACTCTTAATCAAATTAGCACCCGGTGTCCTTAAAACAGAAAGGTAGAAAATACGGAGTCGCTACTTTACTCCATCTCTATCCTCTGGATTTTGGGCTGTGGCAGCGATAGAAACGGCTCGCCAAGAGATGCAAAATAAGACCCATCGTTCTTCACATTTCTGCAACGGCGTGAACTAAATTACAGTTCTTTTTGGAGGCAAAACATCCCTGTCTCGACAACGTGTTTTGCAGGGCCTGGTGACACACGCTCGCTGTCTCCTGAGTTGAGCTCAGTTGTTATCCACGAAAGGCAGCTTATTGCAACGTCAAATGCCGGGGAGCATAGATATCCTCACAACACAAAAAATGGCAGGATGGTGAGACCGGTTTCTTGCTGTGTGTTTGCCTGGGACCATGGGTTGGCTAGCGACGGTAAAGGAACAACCAGCCAAAAGAAATATATATGTAAGTTAGCTAAAAGAAGAGAAAAAGAAAAGAGCAATGAGAAAAAGAAACAGACCTCGATGTTGACGACCGCGCTGAGCTCCGAGGCTTATTCCATGAAAGCAAAACCGAATTTTGAGAAGCAATTTGGGTTTCTGTTTTCACTGGCCATGGGTTCTCGAAGAGTCAAGGTAACTCATAGCACGACTACTAGCTGGAATCCCCAGCAGCAGGAGCGCTGAAACCATGAAGGTGGAAACTGGAGCCCAACGGGGATGGACCCCAGGCCCTTTTCTTTTCTCGGAGTAAGATCGCAACTAGTTCATGCCTGTCATCTTCGATCATGATTCAGCCCAGCTCTAACGACGTGGTCAGGGGCAGCGCGGTAAATCTTCTCCAGCTTTTCAGGACGGAGGCCGCCATAGCAGGTTTGGTATGCGTGGAGGCAGGCAGAGATGCTTGCGAGTAGCCTGGATTAACAGTTGACTTTGCACTGAGTGGTAACTAGTGTTTGAATGCCTCTGGACACTTGCACAGGGCCATCAGAAAATCGTTCGTTATAATAACGTGTTGCCCAGACAAGGTATAGTTACCTACCTGTCTTCGTGGCCTCATTCGAGCCTGCTTGGTCATTGATTCTTCCAAGATGTTGTGAAAACAGCAAGACCTTCCACCCAAAGATGATAGACCAGTATCAATACTCGGGCAAAGTCAACCCTCCAGTCAATTCGCCCAAGACTTTCCGAGTTCCCCGCCGGGATTGGGAGCGAATGCGAATGCCAGGCACCTGTGCGCATCGGTAGCACGAGTAAGGTAGGAAATCATGTACTATAGGCAGAGTGAATGCACAGAAAACATGAAATGCCCCTTGTACTTAGCCCAAGAAATATTATAATCGTCATCTTATTGGAAACCTCAACAATCTCTATGACAACAACCCCCTGTTCAGCTGTCTTATTGGATGTGCAGCAGTGAAAGAGACGCGCGGGGGTTCGTGTGTCAGGGGCTTCAAGAAGAGGCTGATGTTCAGCAAGGTACCACATCCTCGCACTCAGCAAGAAAATTGAACGGGGATAATGAGGGTGGTCGGGCCTTCTGGCTTAAGCACAACGTACGATATAGGTACGTTGAATACCTGTAGTTATACGAGTGATCTTGTATTTCTATATGGACATGTATCAATTTAGGACATACCTCCGATGGTGAGATGAGAATTGATCACGATTCCATTCCAGGGGTCAGGGTATCCGGGGAAGACGCCCTTGAAGCGTTGGCATGCATTATTTTTTATATATATGTATCCTACCAAGCAGGTTGGTTCGGTGCCTAGATTTCCGATCGTTCGTGGGGTAGTTAGCTGGGCAGCCGGTCCTCAAACAGATTTTGCATCATGACCCTTGCCGCACGGTATCAAACTTATGGTGATCTTGTTGTAGCCATATAAAGTCATCATAATGCGAAGTGCTGACTCTAGATATAGAAGGCTTAGAGCCAACACTCTCTCCTATTCTTATGCGTGTGCTTCATGCCGTAAACCACATTCACTGTCACCTGAAAGCCACGGTCAGGCTGTGACTTCTACCTATAAGCATCAACCTATTATCTTGGATGGAGTCATCCGGCATAGTCTTCCCCAGTTGAGATTATCCTGGCCATATATAGTCATCTCTACATGACATGAACGTGGGGCCAACGGGCCTGGGTGAATGGCCAGTGCTGCTATTACGAGTGATATGGCCGAGTCAGCGCGCACAGATCGAACATTACTGCTGAATGAAATGCGACTGAGCCATGTTATCGTCCTCTTGTCATCTTGCTTATTCTTCTGGCACGGACTTGCCTGCTGGTATCGTGTCAGGCTCGTTCCATTCTGTGGTATCAGTACGCCCGTAACATTGCGGAATGGAAGTGATACCCCAGCATTAGCCAATATTCCTTTGACATCTGGGGTAAGAGCTATTTTCTCATTTCATGATCTCCTCAGGGAATATCAAGATATATTCGAGCCGTTGTAAGCAGCCGTCAGAATCACTCCCATATTTAGCTATGGATAACTACGTGATGGCGCGGAAACAATATATTTTTTTCGGGTATAGAGCGTACGGAGACAGCAAACAGAACATTGTCCCTCGAGGAAGCTAGAAGGCCTGGGTATGTTGGGCAGCAATAGCTGACGGTCAGGTTTTCCCGTGTTTTTTTTTTTCCTATCCAGTTCTTGGGCCTGACATGATACCCTCATCTTTGCGACTTCTAGTTTTCACCATGGTCTGTGATATCATCTTACTTGAGAGCGAGACTTGATGTTTTATAACCCAAGGTTGCGTGCTGGCTTGACTTGACTTGATCCTTGCAGTGTCAAGGCTGGAAGGAAATGGGCCGTCGACCTCTCGTCACATTGATTCGGTTCAGCCTGGGAAGATGACCTTCCGAATAGCTAAAAGCCGCATCATGTTTGGGAAACAAACGACGTGGACAGTGTCTGTATCAACCTCACAGTAGTTAGATGTAGATATATGTTTGACTGACGTACGTAGTCCTGGATGTAATGAGGTTAGTCCATATTAGGCGTTGGCGGTGGCAGCGAGACTTGTAGGCACCGTCTTCCATCTTGCGAAGACAAGCCATGTTCAAGCACTTAGTAGCAGAGGATGCCTGTGACTGTGCAGCATCCAGTAGCTTCGAGTTATAACACAATGACGGATGGTTGCTTTCCAGGCGAAGAATCCACGGGTTTCGCCACATAAGCCAAGCTCTCAATACTATTCGCAATCAAGTTGTGGAAGATGAGTCAATTACGTCTGTTTTGCAGAGGATCATCCCAGGTCACGGAGTATAATTGCAGCTATACTTTATTCATATCAATTGGTATCTGTAGATGGACTATCAGAAAGCCCCGTGGTTCACCATAGCCTCCCAAAACAAGTGGCAAAGTTCATGAAAAATTGGTATCCTTGGTAGAGCCACCACAAAGAAAAGGGAAATAAGAAGTAACACAAAAAAGAAATGCCTTAACAAAATGCCTTCGTAGAAATTTGAAATGTCACTGTGGTAGCATGAAGTTAAAAGATATAGCAAAACAACAAGGCTCAGCCAGCTGCAAGAAAACAACTTGAATAAATGACGTGTACCTCCCAAAGGTTCGCGCAATGTCGAATGAACGTGAAACGAATAAGAAACGTAAAAGTAATAGCGGATATAGTGTATGATGGCTTTTAGCCAGTCTGGTCCCCTGTCTAATAGTACTGTGAACACCATTGCAATGCAAAAAACGGACAAAGGGAGAAAGAAAGAGAAAACGGGCCACGAAAAAAGCCACAGGAGGATAGGAGCCAAAGACGAGACAAGGCAACAATATAAAGGCACAAGTGGCACTACTTGCATCCCAGGTAAGATAAATCAGCTTGTAAATCAGTTTTGGTGATACTGTGTCGTCTGTGTCGTTGGCTGGACCTGAGAAAAGTATTGTTCTCCCCATATGTTGGGCTGGGAATATGGCAAAACACCAGTTCGGTCGACTCGGTCTTCCGAGCTTCTTTTGCCTAATGGTTGATATCGCATTAAATCAACCGACAGCTGTCGAGGTTGAAGTAGAGAGCCAGCCGGAGGAGGATATAGGAGAGTGTTGACTGAACGAACTGGGCGGTATGGGGAATTGCGGTCCAAGAGGATGGAAGAGGGCGAAAGGTGAGTGGGCGTGCGAACCGAGTATGCTGGAACAGCGGGTGAAATCGTAGTTGGGGGTGCGGTTGCTGGAAACGAGGTTGAGCCAGAACGCCTTGAAGAGTCAGAAAACCCGCTAGCAGCGCTCTGCTGGAGATTGGTGACCGGCAATGGTGCCAGAATTGGCTGAGGAGCAGAAGGTTGACTCCAATGAACTGCAGTGTTGTTGACTGGGAAAATGGTAGAACGAGAAGCAGTAGAGATAGGCTGGGTGACGGTAAGCGGAGCGACAGAGGTTGGCGTATGTACAGGCCCCATAGGATACCCCGAAAGAGGCCTTGAAAGTTGGGACGCCATATTAGGTGGCATAGAAACGATACTCGTCGGTAACTGAGCCTGGGGAGGGGGTGCAGTAGAGGGCAACTGTGAATTATAAAGCTGTACTGGGGCTTGCGTTGATGGTCGAACCCAAGTCGTAGTCGCAGTTGCTGGTCTCTTGGCTGGATTATCGTTTGCCTGGTCATCCCAACTGCGTTTCCTATGGGCACTCAATGGCTCCACAAGTACCGCCGAATGTGATGCAGGATCATCATAACCAAAGGATGTATTGCTAGACTGAGGGATGCTCAATGACAAACGAGCCTGAGGGGCGTTAAAATTTTGTGAGGAAGTAGGATATACCTGCTTTGTCAATTGTTGTGAGGCTCGATAGTTGTCCACGGCGGGGGTTAACGGGCTGTGAACTGGCGAAGCATGAGTAGATCGGTTGGCCGAGTAAACATCCAGCGAAAGTCTTGAAGCCTTTTCGAAATAGCTTGAAAATACTGATAACTTTGCCAGCCATTGGTTCCATTCTTCCTTGGTAACGAACAGATTATATCGGACATTGCTGAGGAACTCAACTTCCATCACATGAATCTCTTGAACTGATATACCGGAAACTTCCGCCCAGGTCTTGTTTGTGTAGGTATTATCATCAAGGACTGGAGTGGAAGAGTTAGCGAACATAGGTAATAAGTATGTAGTAGAGCCTCAATGCTTACATTTATTCCCCATCATCAAGGCAATGGTCATTAACCTGAACTCGCTCCCCCGTTTCCCTCGTACTGCAGGGTTGAACTTCTTGAGGCGGTAGATGAACAGGAGTGCTAGCAGAATAACATTCTTGCTCACTTGAGTGGTAGTTAGTACTGTGGTAACCCATTTCTTGAACCCCGGGCTTGGTGCAAATTCCAGCTCCAGAGGTGAAGTTGGAGTGTATGAAGAATCGTCTTCGATCTGTTTCAATTTAGAGGCTTTGGCAAACCAGAATAAACAAGCCACCTATAAGGTTAAACTTATGTCAGTATATGTCGGATATAACATAGACCTGTCACATATATGCATATACATATATATGCGTGTGTGTGTATTGTATGGTACTGGTGAATAGAGACCGGTAGCATACCTGAGCAGCAAACTCTGCTAGATTGCCTCCATTACCGCTCATGGACGAGCCTAGCTGTGGGCTAGATGTGCTCCGAGCTGTAGACTTGGCCGGAGAGTCTGAGGAGGTCTCCTGGTTGATATTAGAGTGCTGGCTGATCAGTGGCATTGGTTGCCTCTGTGCCGGCCTGGCCTGTTGCGTGGTGCTGTCTTCCCGCCGGGCGCTGTTGGTGTTGGTGTTGTGGTTATGGTTGAAGGCGGTGACGTCTTTCCTCCCGTCTACTCCTATTTGAACATCACTCCTTGGATGTGAGTAGCCCCCATAGTGATGTGGCAACGACGACGCAACAGCAACCCCCATCCTCGCCATATCTGAAGCTATTCGCGAGCTCGATTGTTGTCTAGGTAGTTCCCCTTGAAGCCTAGAGAGCTCGGCTCTATCTATCGGCGGCGGTCTGGAGGTCGAAGACGGTAAGGAGGGGGCCCCGAATGGGTGTGGGAGGAAATGGTTCGGCGGTATTTCGAGGATGGCAGGCATGGGTGATATACTGCAGACGACAGGTATAGTTATAGAAGATATTGGAGGGTGACGGTGAATTCCCTGGGTGAATGTGGTGGTTATCACTAGATCATGCTGCTGACCATTGCACTAGCGGAGTGAAGCAACAATGCTTCACTGACAGGAAGATAAGGAGGAAGAATAAGAAGAAAAGGAAAGAGAAGAGAAAGGTAGGTCCATGTCCTCAAGGGCAAGCATCGCAGGACATGACGAAGACGAAGGCAAAAGGAATAGAAGCCGCCCTTGGTGGAGCAGCAGCAGGAGGACGCCAGGACAGGATAACGGACACAAGAAGAAGCTCTCGGCAAGAACAGCGAAGTTCTGGACGGACGGTTCAATCAATCAATCCATCTCAAGGAGACGAGACGAACCGTGGCGGGGATTGGAGATAGCCAGCCAAGCGGGACGACCAGCCGTGGATATGAGGATGAGAAGTCACTAAAACATGTCCGGCAGCAGACACGAGAAAGGAGTCAAAAAGAAAGGGGCAAGTCATAGACGAGCATCATCGATCAAGCAAGCAACATCGATACATCTATCACAGCCCGAGGCATAAAAACAGCCCCAGGTCAAGCAAGCGGCGCGCAAATGAGACGCAAATGAAAGGGGATGGATTGGACGCAGTCCGAGGGTCGCATCCATCCATCCATCCCATCCACACATCCTTGATCCACTGACCTCGTTCTTTGGAAGCACTAACTCTGGGCCACCGGATTGCCATTCAGCCATCCAGTTAATTTTGCACAAAAAGAAAGTGTAAAAAAAGCAGAAGAGCCGGAGGAGAAAAATAATAAAATAATGGCGATGGGGGAATGCAAGTCTCCAGTACGCAAAGTTATTTTTTATTATTTGCCCTTGGACGAAGTTTGGCCCGGAAACAAAAAGAAACCTCTGAGGCGGCTGATCGTTATTTTTACTTTTTGTTGCTTGCTGGCATCTTCTACTCCAGCACAGAGAGACAGGATGATGGATGGGCGGAGGCAAGCCCTGGTTGATGGGACACACTCTGGACGCTGGGCGTCCGACTGTTGGGATGCAGGAGTCAATGAAAACCAGGGGCTTGCTGGTTCTTGACCCTGAGAAAACACTAAAAGGCATGAAAGCCAACGATAAAAAGAAAGAGACCAGAAGGCAAAAAGCAAAGGCCGTGTAAGTATACATCGCTATAGGATGGAGTACACTTATATGCTTTTACCTTTGTGCTTCCAGGCATGTCTCTTCTTTTCCCCGTACTTTACGATGCATACTTACAAAATCTGTGTACTAAGGCAGGTCTCTTCTAGCTGTTGACAAGGGCTCAAGGCTCTCAAGGCTTTGGCATGTCGGTCAGAGGCCGCCCTAAACGGAATCTCAAGAGACCAGCTAGCTCGTATCACGCCCCCAAGATCCCTCATGATCTTGTTGTTCATCAACCTGGATGAAGCCTAGAAGGCGTCTTGCATCTCCGTTGCATTGCTCGTATGTAAGCTGGCCATGACGATAATACAATTATTATCTTTGCTTGATCACAGTAACGGAACGGACATACGCCCCAGCTGCAGTTTCGAGCAAATAGTCTTGTCTCATTCTTTGATATCGGGAAGCTGGCCGGCTAGCGATAGATACTCTGTACAGCCAACCTTGATGTCAGAGCAGCTAGTAAGCCCAGAGCAACTAATGAGCTCCTCTACCCACACTCTAAACGGAGAACTCGCGTCCCATTTACGACTCTCACATCATGCCGACACAACTGTTCAATATCGAGAGTAGTGATGTTGGGAGTAATGATTGACTTGTGGATGTCCTGTGTTTCACCATAATCGTCTTATGCTTCGCATGAAGGGGATGGAGTCAGGATGAGACGACATAACCACACGAACAAGAGCGAATCAAAAAGTGGTGACACGGCAAAGACATGAAAAGAAGAAAGGCTGATCCGGGCGACTTTTACGAGCCACCACGACACAAACAGGTGAGGATCTCCTAGCACCCCAGCCATTCTGTTTGCTCCTCCGCTGACCGTCGTCTTTCGCAGCTGGCATGCTCTTTTAACTCCCTGCGAAACCCATCACCAGGGTGTTTAACAAAATCCGCTACTCCGTATACATACTTCGCTGTAAACGATAGTCCTTCTTCTGCAGCATATGTATGACGTGACCTCTTTTACGCTGGGGATACGAATCAATCTCAGGCGACAAGACAAGGCCCCCTTCCTCTCGGTAGGCGTAATTAATGGGATACCTGTACACGACGTACCCCTCCCTCTTCCGGCTGGGTCTTTTGACCATTTCTGGGTACAATATTGATCGAGGATAAAGAGGAAAAGTTGCTAATTATAATCTCAGCAGAACACAGGGGCCTTTTCTTTCAAACACCAAGGGCAAACCACGTCAATGGGACGGCACAGGAGGAAGCAACAGAAATTAAAATACCTTTTCTCCCGTCATGGTGGTTTATCAGGGCTTTTCTAATCTGCAAGCATAGGTCACTTTTTTTTTACCGGACAATTCTATATTCCTCCAACAGTCCGCCCCACGGCATCATGTTTGCCTCTTTCGCTTGGGTATGTGTGCTGTACGAAATGTGACGAAGAACAGAAGAGAGAAGGCAGACCTCAGGTAAGACAGCAAACTTAAGACCTCCGCTCGCTGTCGCTCGCCTATGATCCTGGAGGCTGGAGCTGGCTGGCTCTCTTGCGTCGTTTTCCTTTAGTTTGGGGGATGGAGTATGCGAAAAGGAGGCTGTAACAATAACGCTGCCAGTCTTCGAGCGCTAGTTGGCCGCCGTCGCCCATCGCCTATTCCCCCCTCAACTAACCAGCCTCCAGATGGCTGATTTCTCGAACAGAGTAAAAGAAAGCATGAAACCTCTTTTATCTTTGGAAAGCCGTCGAACCAGAGTAGACTGAAGCAGAAGAAAGTGATTTATGCCTCCAACAGAGTGTTTCTCGTCCCAGTTTGAGGATGGCGGTGGAATGGTCAGCTTTCTTTTGGCGCTGTTCACTGCAGCAGCCTTCAAGCCAGTTAGACACGCCGTGTGTTGTGGTCATGCCCCTTGGGTGTTGGACTTCATCCTTGTCATAGTGGCAGGATTTGCTCGTTAGGTGGACCGCCCATGTTCATAGTCCGAAGATGTGTGTGTATACGGAGTTTACACCAAGGGAACAAGCCATCGCAAGCAACAAATATGTCTCAAGGTTATGTAAAATTTTTGCCAGCGTGCTTAGCATGATGCGTCGATAAGACACCGAGCAACGACACTAAAACTGCTTATCCCGTCTGGCACTCATAGTTACATATTCAAAAGTCATTCATCATCGATATGCGTGATGGATGCGCATCCGCTTGCTGCCACTGTGCCACCATTCCTGCCGCACCCAGCTTCGACGTGTGAGCCAAAAAGCACAAAAAAAAGCGAGCAAAAAAGAAAGGGACGACGAAATGAAAAAGAAACAACGACCGAGCGAAGGGATGAAGCGTCTGGCCCAAAACCAAAGCGATCGAATTATTTGGTCAGCATCGTGTGTCTGGTATCCCATCTTTTACCGCGATGTACTCCGTAAAGCCTCGCCCATCCGTCATTCACCCACCGACAAAAATAACAAACTGCATATTTTGCTTAGACCTCTTGACGGCGTCTTACCAAAACTCAGCCTAGTTGACCCTCCCTGACGACGCACGCAAGCACCAGGAGTCGGACCTCGGGGAAGGGACTATTTAGGGCGAAGGATCCAACCAACGGTGACCGCAGGAGAAACCACAAGAAAGAGCTCCACCGTCTCCTGGCCAGTTGCATTTGCTGAACCAGACACTTAACATCAGGAGTCTGGTTCATTATTTTGGCCTTGCCCATGACTGTTGTTCCATATTCATTCGTTCTCCGCCACTGGTATCTCCTTAGCATCAAGGTCTAGGATCTCCTTTTTTTAGTCGGGCATGATCTGGTACAGCAACCCTCGAACCGGCGCTTTGGGTTATTATTCTCTAAATGGATGTAACATCCATTATTGAAAACAACGGAGCAATGAGAACCACTACTTACGCTGGGTCCGTCTCGTCAACTGCTCGACGTTCGGGATTAAAAGGCAAGGTACTGGATTTGGATGGAATCTCCGACTTTGCATCAACTTGGAACCGTCGTTCGGAAGGACAGGGAAAGGTAAAAGAAAAAGCCAAACGATTACGCCAGTCCACTCGCCTAGTGTGTGTACGGAGTACGGGGGTCTGTAACTTTCGTTGCATCCCTTAACTATGGGCATACTATATGTTATGGGCCTGGGTACGCCTGCTGTATGGTGACTAAATAACGGTTGGCGCCCATGCAAAGAGTCCGCCCCAGCCTGCCCGTCCATTGGTTGGAATTTCCTTTGAGATCTAAGATCTCGACAGGCGAGGCGGAGATAGACCACAAAAGTATCTAACATTTTCTCAACCGATACTACAAGCTAATTGAAGGTGGGACAAGAACCGCAACCTCTGCTGATGGCTGCAGCCAAGTACAGTAATTCCGGCGGGTTCTCAGCAAAAAAATGTCCGCCGCACCGCTTTCACCCTGTGATCTTAGATTAGCTAACAGCCAGGCAACAGGAAGGGTATCTCAAAAGAGTACCCTGCAAAGACAGGCTGATTTACACCCTCCTTTGATCGGCAGCAGCAGGCTAACTTTTAAACATCAAGTCTCTTTTCAACACACTTGTATTCGGCGATCCTCGGGTCAGGTTAGGCAAGCTAAAACAAGTCAAGAAGATGATGCTACATTCCATATGACTTGGAAGTCTCGGTAGGAATGACGGCACAGTAGCATCCTTGCTCGGTGATCAATGTCCCAGGAGACGGCGGAGCCACACCGCCCATACTTCTAGCAATAAGAATATCAGGCAGGAATATAGAAGAAACAGTGAGCATATTCAAACAGTGAATGGGCAAGTCAACAAGGGAAATCGAGCTGAACCTCATGAAGGAGAACCGGGCTGTACGTGATGCTCGTACTAACAGGCCTTA